CAGGCATACGACCGTTGTAGCAGGCGAAGACATTAGCATAATTCGCAAACTACACGCCCTGCACCTTTAAAACAAGATTTAGTGAATCAAATGTTACTGTTTTTGCAATGGCACATCACATATGATTGATAACCGTTCCCCATTTGTTCGTATTTGCGGGGTTCTACCGTGCATTTTTTCCGCACCCTCTGTGTGAATCGTAAACAAGTACATGCTGTCAGCGCTGGCTCGTACCGTGGGCGGGTGCATGGGGCCGCCGCCGCCGCCGCCTCCGGGGTCGGAGCGGTCGGTGCCCGAGCAGGAGGAGGAGTCGTGCAGGTCCTCCTTGTCGGAGGCGCCGCCCCCGCTGCCGCCGCCGCCGCCGCTGCCGCCGCCGTCCTCCTTCAGCTGGTCCGCCGCCTCCAGCGACTTGCGGTGCATACCTGCGCACGCCGCACACGCCCCCGCTCACTCTCCCGCTCACTCTCCCGCTCACCACGCCACTTGCTTTATGGTTTAGGCCTTTCGGCACCTTTGGCCATTCGCGTCGCGATCTCTGTGGTTGTGTTAACTGGAGGAAGAGCACGTAAGGGCAACACGAATACCCATGCCCGAGGAGGGATTCGAACCCGCCACCCGTCGAGGCAGCTAGCGACCTCGGCTATCCAGGGGGGCTTGCAAACGGTTTTTTCAGGGCGGGGGACGAGTTGCTACTTTCTCGCTCTTACGAAGGAAGATTATGTAATCGTGGGTCGGAGAACGGCGAATTTTCGGTAGAAAAATTCTTATTGCCAGGCCTTGGCAACTAAAAAGTGGATAAATCCTGTTGCTAAATATAGAAAAAATTGCCCTAACAAATGGTATAGACATAATCCTTGTTTTGTAGGTCCTTGATACCAAAAAATCGATTGACGGCAAAAAGTTTGTCTCTCTGTCTGTCCATAAACGCTTGCGCCTAAATCGTTCAGTCGATTGTCTTTCGAATTGATATTATCCAATCGGTGTAAAAGAACTCAAGACTTTGCATGTTTCAAACGCATATTTTGATTTTTGAGGATACTGTACATCAAGCCTCAAAAACATTTTTACAATTTTCTCAAAAATAGCACCGAATCAAACTTTGTTCTCGCGTAAATGACGCTTTAGAGAATGGTGTAGATCTCATTTTCGTTAAAATTCTAGATTTAAAAAAAAATTGAAAACTGCAATTTTTGGGGCGTCATCCTACAAGTATTATAATATTAAAAATATATGGTTTTCCTTAATGAAATCGGTTCGTTATAGATGGATCTTTAAATAAGTTTATGGTAAATGTTTTTAAAATATGAGTAGTTTTGGTGTAATTTCGCACGAAATATAGGCAATTTAAATAAAATTAACTTTTTTCCTCAAACACTACTCCATTTGTTTTCTTTAAATTTTTTCGCACGCATAAAAGGAGATGCTTAACAGAATGGCGTGGGTATTATTTTGGTTGAAGTTTCTGAGTTTTCTCATGGGCATTTGTACGGCTCCAAATTCTTCTAATTTTCCGATTTATATAGTCTGATATATCCTAATGCGGTATTATGCGTGAGGGGTAATGCGGCCATCAGAATGGGTCGTATACTTCGATTTAAACATCCATTGACGTTTTATCAGCTTTTACGATATCCAATCGTGAGTTTAAACGTCGCTACTGTAGTGACGTTTGAGCTCCCGATTGGATGACACCGTAACAGATGATTAGACGTCAACGAACACGATATGTAAATCGACGTATAGCTAATGGATTCGTCTGGTACTGAACAAATTAGAGAAAAATATCTTGCACTTGGATTTCTTTTGGATTCTTGGAATAGTATGGAGGCTCGAAATATAACAATTGAAAGTTAGTGCGCCCCCCCCCCTTGAAGGGAGATATTTCTTTGTGAGCCTGCTGCCTTGGGGCCGCAGTGCGTGGCGTGGAGGGCGCGTGGCGTGGCGGTGCGAGGGCGCGGTGACGCAGGGCTCGGAGGCACGTGCGCGCACAGGGCAGCCGCGGATGAGCGCTTCCTCTCCCCCCCCCCAGCACGACGCACGCCCCCCCCCAACACACGCACGGGCGCTTGCCCGCAACCGCATCACTAAGGCACCCGCCAGCGCCACAGCTGCAGCGCACCGGCCCACACAAACAACAAGCTCCTTGCTGCCAAGAGGAAGGTGCTCCGACAGCACTTACTTTCTCACATTTTTTCTAGCATTGCGATTTTCGAAAATTCAGTGCGTTCAACGAGAACTAGGCGAAACAGTTACTGGGGACAAGTCGCCTTCCGCGAGTTGAAGCGCTGGTCCCACAGCAAATTAAACTGGTTGTGCTACAACAGCTCAAACTTTCTCGCATTATTTTTAAATTTGAAATTTTCGATAATTCAGTGAGTTTAACGAAAATCTGACCCGTGCCATTCTTTTAAGCGTCCCTTTTTTTATTCCGTGAAAAAATCAAACAAGCCATTTGGAATGTTTTTTTGAGAAAAAATGTAATTTTTTTCTACTTGCCAATGCTTTGCGCCAAATTAGACGGAAACTACTAATATTTTTGAATAATTTAACACGAATCTATTTAAAAATCAGTCTTTAAGGAACATATATCATTACGGAAAAAAATCTCTATCCACAATATTAGTTGTAGAAAGACACTAAAAAATGTACTTTTGCAATTTTTCAAAACTCTGGAATTTCTGCGAACATGTGACTTACACCATTCTCTTAAGCGTCCTTTACACGATCCGAGTTTGATCAATAAATTTTGTACCATTTTTGAGAAAAATTTGAAAATATTTTGGAGGCTTCATGTATTGTATCCTCAAAACTCAAAATATACGTTTGAAACTTTAAAAGCCTCGATCGAAGAATATCAATTTTGAAGAAAATCGGCAGGACGGTTTAGGCGCTAGTGTTGACAACAGTCGGAGAGACGGACCTTTTGCTGTCAATCGATTTTTTGATATCAGGAGCCTACAAAACATGAAAATTATTATGTTTACACCACGTTTACACCACGTCACCAGGGCTGGTCAATGAGTTTTTCTGCCCAAAAATGCGCTATTTTCCGGCGGACGATTACACTACTTTCTCTTGTTACAAAGAACCTTCGTAAGTGCTAGAAAGTAAATATCAGTTTTCAATGTCTACATTACTAGCAATGCACGCTCCCCACCCATTAAACATATGACGAGAGCACATTCCCAGAGCGCTCACGAGACGTCGCTGCTTCTGTTGAAAAGCGCCTTGGAGTTTACAGCTCACGCTGCTATCAGCGCCGCCACGTGGTAACCTAAGTTACTTAGCGGGAGCACTTAGTGATTTAGTGAGAAATATTTTTTTTTCTTTTTAGCAAATACATTTAATATCAACCACTTGTAATAATAGTATTGTACATCAAATGGAATAGAAAAAAAGTTTTGTAAATGTCGTACTCAAAATATGAATAAACGATCATTTGAATTCGCGAAAAATACCCATAACTATTATAAAATAGTGAAAGAGACTAATAAAACGTTCAGAGGGTGAAGTTGCCAACGCAGACTTCATGCAAATCACATACTTACAGGAAGTAAGGAAGACATTCAACAATATCACTACATAACACAGAAGAGATAATTTATTATTTTTAAATTTTATACTTGCGTATTTTCTGTTTCATTGAAATCACTGTCTATGGTGATTCGGTCTAAAGAGTCACGATGTGACCGGTGGCTGATAAGGTCTGGTGCCAGGCACCAAGAAGCAGAACCACGAATGAATGAATAAATGAAAGGAGTGAATAAATGAATACATGAGACGATGAATGAATGTATGAGTCAATGAATGAAAATAAGAAAGAACGAATGAATAAGTGATAACGTTAGATTGGAAAATAGAACCAGAACGCAGGGACCTCAAGAGACTCTCACTAAATCGTGTTTTGATTCTCAACACCTACTAATCGGAACATTCGAATGGTCATAAATAGGGGTCGGATTTTAATGAATTGTAATTTTTTTCCTTTTAGTTTATAACATGGCCGATTTGTATAAAAATTCATTTTATGCTATAAAAAAAGAACCCATTTTCGTATGTTTTTTTTTCATTTTTTGTTGATTTTGAATAATAAGTTCTTTTTTTCTTTTAATCACTTGGACGAAACGTATCTTTTAAACCCTTGAATGAAAGGAATTCGTAAATTGATTACATCAATAACATATCCAACAGGTTGAGTTGTTCATTTGAACAGGTTTTGATCAAAATGTTTACGTCATTTTTCTTTGCTTTTAGGACATTTTAAAAATGTTGAAAGAACATTCTATTGATTATTTTTTGGCGATGTTTCAGGTGATCAAAATCTTCCCCTAGTCGTAAAATGTATCTCTTGATAACGTGCACATGCGATGAAATCTTCGACGCGTTATTTGTCCGTGTAAGTACAATTAATCAACGGCTTACAATCCATTTCCGTAATCGTGTCCTCAGAACGCGCGCGCAAATCCTGCACTCGCGCGAGGCCGCGCGGGGGTTCCCCTCGGAGGCGCCTAATGCGCTTGATCCTGGCCTGTGGCCCTCCGCCGGAGGCTAATGCGCTTAATCCACTGGTGGCCCTCCGTCGCACGCGACCGACCGCGCGCCGCGGATTCGTTCGCGGGGCATTCGTTCGCGGAGGGAGGGACCGCGCGAGCGCGGGGTAATATCTCCAGGGTGTTAACTGCTCGGAGACAGCGCGACGCTGCCCTGTGAGTTATTAACCGCGATATTGGTTTCGACTTGCGGCATAATCGACTTTTATTGGACCCTCTGAATGGAGCGGTCGAGAGGGTTCGGCCTATTGGCGTGGGAAATCGATTAGGTGGGGGCGGTGCGTCACGAGGGCCTTGCAAGGCGCAATGTAGCGCCCGACAGTTTATGTGCATAATTGGAGATCGATTATAATTGGAGATCGATTATGAGCAACGCGGCAGAGAGTGGGGGTTTTCAAAGTTGCGACCTCGATTTCGAAAAATGTTGACAAATATTTTGATGAATAGGAATAAATATTTGTACTTGAGAAGTAAAAAAAAGTACTTTTAATAGTTACTTGCAAGAAGCAAACTTTATTTGATGTGTGTTTATTTCTGGCATTACGCGTTTTAAATAACATTGAAGAGATATAAAAATGTATGTATTTTTTGATATAGAACTAATGTTGAAAAGTGGAAGGGAAGAGATTTCAACGTTTGGGATTCGATTAGAGTTGTACTTTTCAGAATCTATAATAAATTCCTTCGATTTCTTGGCTGGTGTTCCTTTACTCGTAATCGTAAAAAACTGAATGTCAAATCTTGATACTGCATTGCAGGACAATATTATGCATTTGAACAACCATGCGAATGTTGTGTCAATACAGTGTTCTGCAATTAAGCTATATAACGGGTGTGAGAATATGAAAAGTAAGATAGTAGTCGTTTCGACC